CATTGCACTGGAAGGTCCGTCGTTCATGCGTGATATCTGCAAGTCTTTACGCATTTCAAAGCTGCTCTTTGCAAAGGAAGAGGCACTGGTAACATCTCGTATGACGAAGTAGACCCGACTTCATTGAACTTGACACTTTTTAGCTCCCGAGTTTATCTCCACTGCGTGCTTTCCGCTGATTTTTGCACCTCCTGGTATATTTGTTGACACTTTTTTTTCATTGCATTGACCATTTGGTTTTTCCCAGGAACATACCCCCCCTCCCTCCCCTTCTTTTCCCCTGCCTGCAGTCCACTGCTGAATATTTTACTTAGCTATCGTGAGAAAATTCCCCCGTTAATCACGGCCAGTGCCCTCAGCAAAAAATTTATGAAAAGTGATGAAATGAAATTCACTCCATCTATTTCAGTTTATTGGCAACCGTGTTTCTCACAGAGTTATCGTTCACTGTTTGCTGCCCTTTGTTGCATAAGGGCAAAGTGAATCGTTTCGGAGACTGCGCCTTTACATTACTCACAAAAGATATACTACACTTATCATCCCACAGTATATCCGTTCCCACAAATTATGGATGTAACGCTCGCTTGTGTGGAGCATCTAAGCCAAAATGCATTATGGCTGACACTGTTGTGCGCGAAAAATTGCCGCTACTTTACCCTATTGTCCATTCCAACAGGGCTTGCAAATTCAGTTTCCGATTAATTTAATTTTAGCTCAGACGTAGTTCTATTATAACATAAAAGCTCACGAAAATCTTCGAATTCAGGGACTTTTCTACTTTTTTATCTTCCTTAAGCTTGAAACTTGTGGAGCCTTGGAATTAACCTTTTCTTAACTGAAGCATCATTCGTTCTATACAAGCAATACACGCCGAGGCAAGGTGTAGACAGTACTATTGCAGCGGAGGAACGGAAACGGGTACAAGAGGGGAGGGAGCAGGAGAGGAAGAGGAATTAGGGGGGAACAGCTGTGTAAATACGATTAGGTCTCACCGGACCCAAGAATTTGCAGGCCGATCAAACAGGAACGCTAATGGACAAATGTGTGCCGGCGGAATTTACAGGCAGCCCAATTGTGAATATATTGGCATCGACAGCGAAAGAAGCGGTAAAGCTTATTTCTTCGTTCGCAAATGCGAATTCTTGCCTTTTGAGGCAATTTTTGATTTCTGTAGCATACTTGGCCTGCAGCTCGCGACTCAGAATTCGCTCTCGCAATTTAACTTGCCATCTTGCAACCCGTTTCGGCTGTAAATTGGTGTCGACTTACTTAGCTTGCTGAGGTTTGCTGTCAGCGAAAAGGAGGGGCTTCGGCAGCGTTGCCAAATGTTGATACTGTTAGCAAAGCGTTGCTCCTCAAGCCGAACACAAATACTCCTTTTTGTATATGAAATCTTGCTGCGAAGCGATTTTGAGTAGTCTTTAAATCCAAAATTCATAGGTAATTTTTATAAAGGTTGTGGATTAGCATGAATTTTTTTAAATTTTTGGATCGATTTGCAGCACCCGAAGCCACCTCCGAATTTCAAAGCCGGCCTAAAAGTTATGAAAAAATCCACAGCGGTGCAATGCGACAGGCGCGTCGCAGCAGCAAAGGACAAAAATAAGAATCCACACGCTGAAGCGGTAACTTCTGATGTTTCATATCTAAGTTTTTCGAGTTTCAGCCTGACATTTTAAGTTCAGTGCGCTCATGTTTTATTCTCGTGCTTCTGGTCTTATTCTTTCATTTTTTATCAGTTCGAGTGCATTGAAATTTGTTCTGCTTTCCTGCACTGCTTTTAATTTAATATTGAG